AGCCTGGGCGCGGGAATGGCGCTGGGAAGCCTGGCTGCTTTTCGCGGTTCCCCCCTTTAAACTACACGCTGTCCGCCGCGATGTTGACCTGCATTGGCCTTTCACTTCTGCAAAGCGATAAAGCAGCAGAAACTCTGTCTGCTCGTCCTCTTCCCGGCTATTTGTGCCCACTGGTGTAGAGGGGACGGCAACTAGTCACCTTTTGGGGGGGGCTTCCACGTGTGGAGGTAGCGAGTTAGTGCTCCTGAGTTCCCTGCTCTTGGAAGAGCCGACAACTACTCTTCCAGAAAGCTTTCCAGAAAATATTCCCAGAACGTGGTGTCTGCCACTGGTTTTTCTGAGAAGTGGCACCGCAGACAGAGCTGCCTCTGTCTCCCTGCTGCCCACAGCCCTGAATAGCAGCCTTCAAAGTGGCAGTTTTACCTTGGCTAGCTCCAGGATGTCTGGATACACTGCAGTGGCCTTACAAATAATGGCGTTTAAGTGGAAAAAAAAAAAAAATGCTTCTGTCTCTGCATGGGCTGTGTTTTAGAGACAACATATCTGGCCAAACAGAGCTCTGGGCCCCGCAGGGGTGATTTTGTGCTGAACTTTGCACTGAGGAGCTGGACAAGCCTTGTCGTGAAGTAATTCAGGCTAGCAAGAAAGTTTTGGGCATGTTGGAGCAGTGGTAGCCATAGTTATAAAACAGAGATGGTTTTGGTCTGCCGCTTGAGTTTTTCTGTGTCTGACTGCCAGGCACCACCCTGCAAAGCTTATATGTAGTTATGTTCCTAAGCATGAATTCAGTGTTGCTAACTAACCTTGGTGTCTACTGACTCATGGTTTTGATCCCTTTTTTTTTTTTTTTTGGTAAAAGACATGCCTGTGTTATTACTGTGTTGCAGCAAAATCACTGAGAATGCAAAAAAAGCCTTGGCCTCATTGAAGAGAGAAAACCCTCGGCTTGAGCCAACACTAGCCATTATTCAGGTAAAGTATAGCTGGATTTCAGCTGGCTGTAAGAGATCACTTTGCAGGACTGCCTTTGTGTTTGAAACTTGTAAACCCATGAAGCAGAAAGTACTTTTATTCAAGCGCAACAGTCGGAGGAGGTAATCCCGTCAGTGCAGTCTGAGGAAGAAATCTCAGGATCTTTCCTCTCTAGACCTATTCTCTAGGCCTGAGGCATCTGCAGCAAACTTCAGACCCTGAAAAAGGGAGCGCTAGAAAGAAGGTAACAATTTACCCCTTCCTCCTCTTGCAAACACACCTTTCTCCTTTGTTAGCATCATTTGACTTTTCTCTCAGATTGGTCGATTGCTATAATCAAGTTAAAACTCCGTCTGTCTTCCTTTTTTTTTTTTTTTTTTCTCTTCTGAGAAGGGAGTTTATGTCTGCAAACCTGGCCTTCTCTTTGCTCCCTCCATCCTGAAGTTATATTAGTAGGATTAATACAGGGTGTTCCATCCTTCTGCAAGCATCTTTTTCTTTCCTTAGATTGCTGTAGCTTACAACTGTATTTCTGCTATTCTAATCAAAGGAGAAATATACTGAAAGTTCCCAGTGAGCTCAAAAGGGTCAATGTGCAATAAATGCCCTGGGTGAGAAATGTTGTCAGTATCTTAAGCAGCAGCTTGCTAAGGTGGAACAATCTCTTTGGATGAGAGACTTGTTTTGCTGCTATTTTCATTGGAATTGCTATCTTTGAAATATGCAAACAAACTTGTAGGTGAGGGTTGCTTTCCTTATAAAGCTGGGAATTGTTTCACTTCAGGTTTCATACGGCTTCAAGGCAAGAAACTGGGGATGTCTGTCAGTTCGTTCAGAGTGAACCCAGACCTATGCAGGCAGAGATGTTCTTGCATTTCGCAGGGCTGTCTCACTGGCCTTGAATCAGGGCGTACTGCATCTTTGACTCAGTAGCTTTTAATTTTAAAACCTGAGCTTGAAGACTTTAAAGCAGCCATAAATCTGAGGAGCAATGTGCTCACTCTATTTTAGTGGCTTTCTTGAGAGACAGAATGGGAAAGCTCTGCCATCTCTTACCTTCAGCCAGGGTAAAAAGGGAAAAGCCAGAGAAAAGCCATACTTTTCAGGTATCCATTTCAAATAACCCCTAAAGGCCGTAAATCTAAGAATAAAGCTGTAATCCTGTCCTCTCAGGTGACTCACTGTCTCTCGCTGCTATTTTGTCCCCGTCCAGTCTTGTCTCCATCCTGTTGAGCTGGATTAGAGAAGAGACCCACTTCTAAGTGCTGTGTGAGGAGGGGGAGGCTCCTCCTCATGTATATAATTTAAGATGTGTCTACATTAGCATTGCAGTTTGGATCAGGGGTGTGCTTTAAGTGAATGTCCCTGCTGTGTCCCCTTTTGCTCTCCGTGGTTTGCATTATCTCTAATCCTGAGAACGTGGCTGCAGAACACATGAACCGGGTTTCTGCTGGACAGAGTTAACCCAGAGGATATTCACCAGTTGTCTAGCTCGAGGCTGCTTACAGGGTCTGAAGCAAAACCTGCTTAAAATGCATATTTCTTGCTACAAACAAGGCTTGGGTTAGCCTGTAGATGCTGTGGTGCTGTGCTGCTGGGCAGGGGGGCCAGAGCAGATCTCCACAGGGGCCCTGCATCCCGGAGGAGCAGGGGAAGGGCAGCGCTGCGGTCCCTCCTGCCGCTGGTGGGTGCAATGTAGGGCCCTGCGGCACTACTGGGAATGTGGAGTTTCAGCCTGAACCTGCTCTGAGAACGATTTTAGCTGTATTCTTTTACCCTCAAATGATCTGAGCCTGAGTTGCTGTTGTCACTGATGACCTGTATTGGTATGAGCTGGAGCTGCGCTGTGTTGGCTTTGCTCGTGTCCCCAGCGCAGCAGCCTGTCTGGCCCCCTGTCCCAGCGCCAAGTGGAGAGAGCAGGAAAAGTGCCTGGGATGCAGCTGCTGCTGGGTGTGGGAAGGTGAGGTGGACCCTAAGGGGGAACCAGGGAGTTGGACACTAAGACCTCCCCTACGGAAGCTGTGTGGTCAGTTGCTGTCCCTCTCACGGCACCCTCTCCCTTTTAAATGTTTTCCCAGTGTGAACTGTCTCAAAACATCTGGGATTAACAGGTTGGCGAGTTGAAACAAAATTGTTTAAATGACAGGAAGTTACTGACAATCTTTAGGGAAAGGGAAAAATATGTAGAATGAAAACTATGAACCCTTTTAAAATGAATTATTTCAGTCCTGGTGTCCAGAGTGGAAAACACTTATCTTTACTGTAATATATTTTAAAATGAAGTGTATTACTCATTTAGTTAAGAAGCAATGATGACGTTTTTATAAGTGAAGTCAAAATCTTACCCATCCAGTAAGGATGAGTTGCTGGGAGGTTTTTGGTTCTGGATACCAAATTCTCTGTTTTATTATTACAGTATATGAAAATATTTCAAAAGCCTTCTAAAATGCAAGAATTAGTAATCAAAAATCAAATGTAATAGATAATGCAATGCAAATAGTTGCAGGGACCATAGAGTAAGAGGTGGAACTAGTCCTAGGTAAACCTGCCCACGACAAGTTTTCATTGCAGGGCAGGTGTCTGGTGGGTGGTACTTGGTAGGACTTGATAACTTGTCTTCCTTCTAAAACATAGAACTCACTGTTACATATGTGATGTGTGATTTGTATCATTTTTTAGTGGTGAGACAAGCCAGTGGTGTTAGACAGTATGTTAGACAATCTGCAGCAAATGCTTCCATTGGCTCTGTCTGTTTCTTGTTTGTTAGAAGGAGGTATGGAGAGCTGTATCTCCAGATAGACTAGCATCATTCTTAAATGGTGAACTTACACTAAGGAAATGCCCACTCTTATTATTTTTAAAAATCAGACACAGACTTGAACCAGTCACACCAAAATAAATTTGCCAGATGATTTTCTGTTTGTTTTTAATACTAGCAGAGGTAGTAGTGAGTAGATCCTCACTGCATATTTCTTAAATGGGCCTGTATCTTCGAGCACTTTATACATTTAAGTATAAATTTATTATTTTAAAATGTTTCTGTTTTGTTACCCTAAGGCACATAATGATCATTTGGTTGAAGAAGTAAACAAGAAGTTTGCTGAAGAGGTAAGCTTTTGCCCATACAGTTGTTGCCAGGGATGAGCTATTTGCCCTGATAATTTTAAGTGTTATTTTCTTTTGGCAGGTTGGCCTACGCGTTATTCACATCTGTCTCCCTGAAGGCAGCAGCAAAGATGAGGTAACAGCAGGCCCTGAAGTGCTCTTCCCTTCTGCTTTCGTTCTGAACTTAGATTCATTGCTTTTTTACTTTTAACTCATCTCTGCTAACTCAAATGAGGCTTGGGGCTTAGCTAAGTAGCGAGTATCATCTGCCTTTGACAAGCGAGGAATAAAGGGAATTACCGACTTGTCTGCTGTTTTTGAAGTGAGGGCCTGGGTGCGTTTTGCAGCAGAGGAGGTTTGGGGCTCCAGGCCTCCCCTCCGACACCCGATCTCCCACAGTTGCTCTGTGATCCTGTGGCTATTTGTGGACCTCTTGGTCCTGTGCCAGGGTTTTTTCTTGGAAATCAGAGCAGAACTGTTTCTTCTTGGAAATACTTTGCCTATTTATTGAACATATAGCGTTTAAAATGTGTATTAGAAAGTACTTTCCCTTCCCTCCCCAACAAAAGGCCAGAGAGCTAAATTCTAACCTTGTTAAACACATTAAGTTAGAGTCATAGTTGTAAGTTTTTTAAGTGCAGAGATAATGGCAAACTGAATTATTTTCCCAGGAAACAGGAATAAGATTTCTTTAAATAAAGCCTTAGGTTCATACTTCATATGAACTTTTTCTTTTAATAGATGTGTAGGACCCACAGCATCCAGACTTTTAAATGGAATGTAGACATTTTCTGTTGTGACATATGCATTCATTCTTGCTTCTGACTGGGATCTGTACAAGCCCTATGGCTATCAAGTGGTCTCTTACAGCCGAAAGCTCAGGGAGAGTTTTTATGCATTTTAACAGAAATAATAATAACTAAGATTAGGAACTCAGTAAAACCACTAATAGAAGTTCTGTTGTGTTGTCACTTCTGTGTTCCCGTAATACTTTTCTCCAACTAAAACATAAAACAAAAAGACCGATAATTTGGGCTGCCTTCCTATGGTCCCATAGATGAACTGTGTTAAAGGAGAGCTATTTAATGTATAATTTAGTGGATGGAAGTGAATATAAAATGATATTGCCATGGGTTGCATATTAGAAAGTTTGGGGATTGTTTGGAGGTTAGCTGTTATTTCAAATTAAATCTAAAAGCTCATTAAAGGAAAGAAATATATATATATATATAGGGGCAAAATTAAGAAAGGAAGATTGTATTGACTTTTATTAGGATTATCAGCAACACTGCAAGTTTAATCCTTTTCATAAGAAGATTTGAAGCTTCTCTCTACTTTCTCTGCTGAGAGGAGGGTGACCAGTGTCTCAAAGCCAGCTTGTGATAGAATGAATCTCTGATCAACTAACATGACCTTATCAAGTCAAAGGATAGGTTGGAAGAGTTGAAATTTCCATTTCAGCATCCCTGTGTGTACATACTCTGTGTTAATAACATGCAGATTACTATGTCTTCTTTAATATTTATATACGTACTATGTATATTTAATATATATAAAAAAATATATGGGGGGCTTTTTGTATATATTTCAAAAGTCAGCAAACTAGGGGATATCTATGTGCTGGTGATACACTGATACAGTCTTCAATAACAGCAGCATAGTATGTTCCCTTATTCCAACATTGCAGACACTCTAATTCCTACCAAATTCGCACACTGTAATGTTGACTGAATAGGAGGTGTTTGTGTTTGGGCAATATAGTTCCCAGTTACACAGAATAGTTTACATGCAAAACATTGTGTGGAGGCATGAGCTATGGGGAAAACCTTGTATATTTGCTTTCTTTTGGATACTAACCTAATTAAATTATACAGCTCTGTGTTGATTTTTCTTTCTAGTTTGCAGCACAATCATTTTAGTTACCTAATGGAGAAACACTTCTCATGTGAGAAAACTTCAGTGTCTTTTATTCCGTTATATCTTCCAAAACAACTGCAAAATGGGCATATGTCAGTATGGATCAGTATTGTAATTTAGATATGAAGCAATCAGGGGTAGGTAGTGGAGTCTGGGACGTTGAGTGTGACCAATCAGAAAATGTTTTAAGTCAGAACTTGCACTGAATCAGTACCTGCAATTCACAAACACTTGTGCAATGCTTTTTTAAAATAATAATTCTTCCTAAGTTGGCTCTCGATTCTTAGGAGCTGAAGGATAATCAGTAAAAGTATATACTGTTTAAAAAAGATGATTTTTTCTTCCTCCTTTTCATATAGTTGTTCTTATGACAACTTTATCCATGTTCTGTTAATGCTAATGCATACTAACATCGCCTCATCCGTGCTTGGGAAAATTTAAGTGTTGGCTTTGCAATAAGTTTATTATATAATAAATTATATGACAGAGTAGCTTAATTTGATAGGCCAAGGGAATATAAAACAGGGCAAACAGGTTATTCCTTCTTCAGATAAAAGCTGCAATAATAATATGGAAGGGAGGCAAAAGCGGCCATGAGTTAATTATAAAAAATAAGTTGCATCCCTCTTGAATTAGGCTGTGTGGAGTGAATTATCATATAAATACACTTTTGCCCTGTGTATTTTTAACTCCACCATGTTTCTGAGTTGAATTCTATTTTCAATTCAATCTTTATATTTCAACATTATGCAAAATTAAGTGTAGTTTTGGCTGTCTTGTTTTGAAGAGGCACTTCCAGTAAAATATGTGCTAGACTAAAATGATGTAAATTGTTAGGACTGGTTCAATGCAACAACTATATTTTGTGGTCTCTGTGACACGCTGGACTGACTAAATATGCAGACTGTGTTTGAATGAACTGGGAAAAGCAAGAGTAGTTAGAGGCGGACTGTTGAGAGGATGCTGGCTCATCAGCTGTCAGAGTGAAGCTGGACTATTGGGTGAGCTTCTTGCATATAGGTGAAGGTCCTTCTCATAGACAAAGACTTTTCCTACAGCAGTGTTCAGAACTTGTCCACTTCTTCCTCCTTAACACTGCAGCTGTGCCCTAGTGTCTATTTCTGGAAAAATGAAAATGTGAGCAATGTGCTCATCAGAAAAATAGTCTTCGGTTACTTCCACAGAAAAAACTTCCATAGAAAGCAGCTTGTTTTTATATTGTAGGATTCATCTTTTGTCTGTTATTCTATTTTTAAAAAACATTTTATTAATTTCCTAGGTTGTTGATGAAATCTTGAAACTTAATGAGGATCCTAATGTGCAGGGCCTTGCTCTTGACCTTCCAGAAAGCACATATAGCAGCAAGGTATCAAATGCTGTGAAACCAGAGAAGGATGTGGATGGGTAAGTGAAGCAGTAAGAAATAATATTAGCAGCAGCAAGGCTGATTGCTCTGTAAAATCAATTTTTCCCATTTGCTAATGGATTCTTTAGTTTACTGCATCTTGCTGTGTTAATGAGTGGTGATAAAGGAGGCTATTAAGCATATAAGAAGTCATTTTGACCATAATGATTTAAATCTTTGTGTACTGTATATCCAGAAAGCGGTCCTTTTAAAGAAATAACAAATGCTACTAATATACTTAAGATATTTCAGTACTTCAGTAATAAAAGTGGCAGTCACTCAAACATGGCTTCTGCAACTGGAATTGATGGAAAAGTTGCATGGATGATTTAAAATTGCTACAGCATTTGCTGCCAACGGGAGAGAGTGCTATAATAGTTTGGATCCATTAGCATGACTTTCCAATCAGTCTTGAGTTACACTACTGCCTGAGGAGTCCACTGACTTAATTTAGATGTCTGGGCTGCTATTTTGCTGCTCTTGCCCTTTTGCAGTTTTCTTGCTCTCAACTGCAGACCTCTGTCTATCATTTCTTTTTTTTCTGGTCAGAGTGGAATCTGAAAATCTTGCAAATGAGTTGACTTTCCATTATCCAGAGTCCTGGAGATTGGCAGAGAATGAAGAATTTAGGTAGTATCAGAGAATGCAGTGCAGAGACATCTGAATTCCCAGCAAGTCCAAAAGGACCTCTGGTTCCACTTTGCTGGTCTGATTCCACAGAAAGCGGCTTAGAAGTGTGTGGTTTCTTTTTTGTGTTGTTGTTGTTGTTGTTGTTTGTTTTGGCATCTGTGCTATGGCTAACCTACCACAAAGCATAGCATGTTGTTTGTATATTGTGTACTCATTTATTCTAACTCACATCCCCCTTCACTGGTATTTCTTGGGACTTGGTGTTTGTCTAAATTATGGGATGTTACAAATGAGTCACGGTACCTCACTGTTAAAGGATTTACTTTTATGAGGCATGTTTACTCTGTTGTTAAATGGATAATAGCTAATCACAAGAGTGATACTGAGGAGTTGTATTGCACACTTTTAATTTCCAAGTTTTTCCATTGCAGATTATCTGATGTAAACCTAGGATGCTTGATACGTGGGGATGACTTTGGCTGCTTAGTTTCTCCTACTGCCTGTGCTGTGATGGAAGTTCTTGAAAATTTAGGTGAGACTATGTTTGATAATTCCAGGATTAGTGAAATCTTTTTTACTTGGTAATAGTTCTGACTATGAGACAAATATAATCTCGTTTTGTTTTGTGTCTTCTGTTTTGTTTTGTTTTCCCATCTTTAACATATTGTCTCCTTCTGGTAAAGAACCTCAGCAATATTTGAAGGGAATATTCTCAGAAACAGGTCTTACAGTTTTACAGTATTTGTAGATTGGGTAAGGACTACTTGCCATTGGCAGATTCAGTCTTACTGAAGTCACCTGAGCCATCTCTAGAAGCAAAAGTGGAGACTTCATGTGGCAGTTTTGATTAGTGTGAATATTTGAACAAATCCAGGTTTGCCTGTAAATAACTAATGGATGAATCTTTTGGTTTGGGCTGTATTATGTAAATGCCAACATTGAAATGGCAAATGTAAACAAGTTTATAGCTATTGTAAATACAGTGCTAGTTTAAGGCAGTGTTTCAGAGAGAGTCTGTCTTGTGGTGATTCTGATTTGTTGAGACAGGGACTTATGTAACTGAGCTGTAAACATGTGGCAAAATGTACTTAGCTACAAATATGAATAAAAAGATATGTGAAAACAAAATAAGTAGAAAACCGGAAAAGCCAGATCCAATTGCTTGAAGTCAAGAATGACCAGGACCTTTACCTCTAACTCTGTATTGCTTCATGGACTCTGAAAGAGTTGCCTTTAATGCTGTAGTTAACATGGTTGCTCAAGAGATGTCTTGCAGTGATTGTGTTCTTTCTATTGCCTTAAAAGAAAAAAAAAAAGAAAGAAATGGCTTAAGTGAAAAGAATGGAAGGAGGAAGGAAAGTTCAACTGAATGCTCCAAGTCTGGAATCGCTTTGGAGTTTGGTGCTACAGGGGGATATCAGTGACTTGCCTTGTATCACACAGATGGGAAGAAAGTGCTGCTGGTGGGAGCCAGTGGGGTCCTGGGAGCCTCCTTGCAGTGCCTGCTGCACCGGAGAGGGGCGATGACCATGAGCTGCCTCTGGGAAAGTCCTCAGCTCCAGAACAAGGTGAGCGTGGTTTTCTGCCTTCCAAACACTTGGGGATCACCCAACATCTCTGGGTCTGGCTGGTGGATCTGTCTGCAAGTGTCATGCTGGTCCAGCTCACTGCCCTTCGCGAGGGGGTCCTCTGCACAGGTTGTCACTGTTTTGGTAACAGATGACACAACAGCCCCTGAGCTGGCCAGTGGCTAGGCTAAGTTAGGACCCTTTTTGCCCTTCTTGCTTGCTAAAAAATCATTGCTCAGGCAAACAGATATTCCTTATATTCTATACCAGAATACTCTATATGTAGCAGCAGCTGTGAACTTCTTCATTCTGCAGCTGTAGCTGTGTGAGAGAGAATTTCTGAAGTTTAAAGTGAACATCTTCAGATAACTCTTTTTCTTTCATTCAGTGCAAAAAAAAAGACTCCTGCTTTCTTCTTGTCTTCTCACATAGTGATCTTTATGAAGTTACCTATACTGAATTTGGGTTTTAACAAATTTTGCAAGTATATCTAGGGACAAAGGGACCTAGACCTTTTCTTTAGCCTTGGGGAAAAAAAAAAAAAAAAGGGAAATGGATCCAGTGAAATTCATCAGATTTAATTTAATTATTAAATAAATGGGATTTAATGCTTCTCTAGAGGAGGTGCACGTTATTTCAGGGGCTTCATTTCCAAATTGATGTGTGAGTGTAAGGTCCAATGAGTAAAATGTAACATTTGTTGTTATTGTATTTATGCCGCAAGGTGGCAGCCAAGTCAAAATCATTATGTCCAACTTTTCCGCTTTTGAATTCAAGAGCAGAATGAGGAAGTATATTTGCATTCATTTAAGCAGCTGTGATAGAAAGTTCTTTGGCAAGCTTGTGTTTTCACAGCTGCTGATGTTTTTGTTAGGCTTGTCTCGTTCCTGCGTTTTCTTAAAACTGACTGACAGCTCCTAGGAAACATGTGCTTCTCAGCGATGGAAGTACTGTAGACTTCATACTAGCTCTGTTCACTCTTTATTTCCCATGGCTTGTGTTCGTGCTTAATGGCCTGCTCTCTGCTAGGGGATCTGTGAGAAGAGTAGTCAGAGGTATTTTCACTGGTTCACAGCCCAAGATTCGGGCCTGGCCAGAGCTCGTTGCACTGTGCTGCCTATATACTGCAGAAAGATCTGTTTCCTTCCATCCAGATGCTTTCCCATAATCATGCCTTGCTTTTTGGCATTCCCCATAGCTTACCTCTCACAGCAGGTCACTGATGGGAAACAGAGTATGAGGCCTAAGCAGGAAGGAGTTTTGAGGCTTTACACATCACTCTTCCAGAGTTCATTTTAACTTTTGGCAATGAAGGAGTTTCTGCTTTGTCTGGAGGGCTAATCAGCAGTGCTCTAGGGAAGCTTACCTTTCCCTTTCCTAGCTGCAAGCCTGGAGCACAGTGTCACCAAGAGCCCTAAAAGCCCTGATGGACTTGGCTGGATGCAGCTCTGCAAGGAAGAGCTCAGAGATAAAATCTAATGCATGCCCACAAGATTGCCCCCTACCATATTTCCAGCAGTCAGAAAGCTAACACAGATTTCTTACCAGGCAGCTAGGCACTGTTGTTAAGTAATGTGATTATAACCAATGATACAAATCTGCTTCCTCTTGTTAGCTTAAAACTCTAGTTTGTTTTGCTGAAATTAAGTAAAAACAGGTCAAAGGCCCACAAGATTTTGCCTAAGGTTTTCATTTGAATTTCAAGTAAGCAAATATACTAGTCTAGGGAGAGGTTTTTCCAAGGCTTTTGAAAAAAAACAGTTCACAATTTGGTTTTAGTGCATAACATGCTAACTTTCAACATGCTTGCGCTCCTAGTTTTTTGTTTCCTCTGGATGTGGCACGTCAGCAATAACATCCTGTGTTCTACTGTTTGGAGGTACAATCTATGTAGCATAATAACTTCACTTAACTGTATGAACATTTCATTGAGAGGCACTCGTTCAACAGTATATACAGTGAAAGAAAAAGGCAACTTAAGGCTGGTGAACCTTTTTTACTTTAATCTATTAGCCAGGCCCATTTGCCCTGGAAGCACAAATCCCAAACTTAATGAAGTAATGCATTTTTGAAGCAGATGTGTTACCTTCGACTAGTTCTGTTGATTTGTGCTTTCTTTTAAAGGGTAGTGTAACAACAACTGTTTGCTATAAAAACTCCGCTGATTTAATGAGATGTGTAACACTAGCCTTATAATTTCTTTGGATCAGGTTTTGTATTGCTGTGGACTTCTTACTGCATCCTTCAGTCATGCAGTTTTGCAAGAATGTTTTGAAAAATCTCAAGACACCAGTATGTTCTGGTTTGCTCTAGAAAAAGTTGAGCACTGTAGAGGTAGCTTTGCCAACAAGCAGTAGAATATCACCTACCATCTGACTTTACACTTAACTAGTTGTGCTCTTTTAGAGCAGGTCTTTTGTGTTCTGTGTCAGTAAAAGGAAATAAAATAAATAATGGGACATTTTAATTTCCTCGCTTTGACTCGCATGAATAACTGAGACACTTCACATGCTCTTTTTCCTCTCTGCTCTATATTTTGTTATGGTGAACAGATAACAAATGTTTCCTTTTGTTCCATTTTGGGATTCCTTCCCTTTAACTATTAAAAATAATCATAATTGTACAGCTGAGTCATGTCCCTTAACACTCTTAAGCTTCCTGGATTTTCAAATAAAATCACTAATGAGAGAAAGCAATATATTTCAGATGATTTTGGCACAGCTGTGCATAGTTGCCATGAAGAGATGCTGTGCTTTTCGCATCAATATGCAATGTTTTTAAAAATGGCATATGAAGAAAGCGGTAAAGACTTGGGTATTTAGGTGGGAATAGGTAGTCACAGTTAATAAATGTCTCATAAGTAAAGTCACAGTTGAAGATTGGAAGCTATAATGTGCTTCGTCTTTTATTGTGTTAGAGTATCTTTGTAGTTTGAAAGATTCTCAAATAGATTCAAATTAGCCAGTACAGATTATTGTCTTGCCAAAACATGAATACCTATGAAGAAATCAACAGTCGTCCTATGCGTAGTCCATATATGAACCTAGTTTAGCAAAACTTCTATACAGTTTTCTTAAGAGAACTAAAAGTTGGTCTATTTAACCATAAATAGGGATGGAAAACTTGTTTGTGAAAGACCAGTTGAAAAGTGCAATGGTTGTTAAGCTCAAGCGAGTGACTTGAGAAGGTGGGGAGGGTCTTTTCCAGATTTGATAACAATCTCTTTTGGCCTCAGTATGCTCTTCCCTAAAGTCCACCCTTAAGTTTCAGTCTATTAGACATGTTTTAATCATTTACTGTCCTCTTTTTGCTCTCTTGGTGCTAACAGAAGAGTCCATTTAATGTTGTTGGGCGCAAGTAAATGTACAAGTATGTGAGAAGAGCTGCTCAGGTCCCATTAAAAGAAAGGGGAGTCTGTGTGAGAATTTCTAATGATGATGCACAATGTTTTGTGTGCATCATATCTGCTCCTTTCGTTTTGAGTCTTGTGTCCCACCCTGTGAGCTTGAAGTGCCCTACGCCAAAGCACGAGCCTGCAGCAGAGATGCCCGGCAGAGACCTATGGGGAAGGAAGGGGTGGGAAAACACCAGGTCCCCAGGCAGTGCCTTGTGCTGCACCATGTCACTGTGGCTGCTGAGGCCCAAACAGACCTCCCGAAGAAACTGCAAGTTGCCATTTTGGGCAAGACTAGGAGAACAGTGAATAGAGCATAATTTTATGGGATCATTGCAATTCCCCCACAATTCCCAGTATATAAAATGTTGTGTTTTTTTTTCGTGAACAGAGTTGTGAAAAATTTTGCATCAGTTGCTTGTTGCTCATCATATCTGTTACATTTTAACTAGCCTAGCTTCAGACCTAGAAAACTGAGAACATTTCAAAAACTAAACTATTTTGTCCTTTGATCATGTGTTTAAAAAAGGGTTTTGTAGCAGTCAGTTTTAACTATGGGGAAATGAAATATTTGTGCAGCCCTTATGGCAAAACAGGTTTTCAATTATCTGGAATATACAGTTACTCTGTATCATCATCATTAAATGCTTGGCTTGAATATCGGTATTGTTGTTTTAACATTTGGTGTTCTGCCTTGGGAATGGGTGGTTCTTCTTAATCTGCTTCTACTTAAACCTTGCTGGAGAGGGTTGTATTTTGTTATGAGGTAAGGTTTCAGATTATTTATTGGCACGGCTCTTCCCAACTGAAAAAATATTTATCGGTGAGAACGCCGAATTCTCCTCGAGCAGTAGCTTTGTCTTCCCCATGCTGCCTGTTGCGTTGAGGGTTGTTTGGTGTGACGCTGGTCGCTCCTTCCACCGGCGCGCGTGGTGGGATGCGGCGGTTTTATCAACTTCACAGTGCATAATTGGTTACCCTGTGGCTGCGTGTTAGCGCCTGTCAGGATCGTCTCAGCCTGTTGGCTCTGATTGCCTGGAGCATCTGGTTTGGATCAGATGCATCCGCAGGCTGGGGACTGTGCGGGACGTTTGCTAGGGAGGTTGCATGTGATGATTTCATAGGTCTTTTCCATCTCTAGTGGCTGTGATTTATTTCTGATTTAGAAGGTAAGTCCTGCACAGGCCTCCAAGTGCTTGCTTTAAATTTTTATTTTTAAGTGTTTTACAGGCAGTCAAAAGAGTAAGTTATGACCAAAAGGAAAAGGGTAAGGGGAACTTCTTGCAAGTGAAACCAAAATGCCCCAATGGAGATCATATAACTTTCAATCAAGGATTCCTGGCATTCTGTAAATACCTATTTTGCTTTCAGTAAACTCAACTAGCAAAGTGAAACAAGTTTGTGGAAATAATTAAAAAAAAAAAAAAAAACTTCTGCTAAAAAAACTGTTATTCATACTTTATTGATTCTCCGGTATTTTTTGCTTATACTTGCTTATAGCAGGTGACAATTTTATCTTTTTCTTTTTTCCTCTATTTTTGGAAAACAACAGAGCAATTATAGGGCAAGGTTCTGTGATGAGTCTATCTTCATCCCAGAGGATACTACTCTATGTCACCTGATGCAACTTTATTCCTATGGGAAGCAGAACAAGGCAAAGATGAGAAGAAAAGGTCCAGCGTGTTTTTTTTTTTTTTTTCCTCATGTATTTATGCACATGTATGATTAGCCATCCAAAATGGTGTTAATGCTGGCTACACAAATGATTGTGTTAGGCTGCTAAGAGCATTTTCAATATTACAACTGGTAGTCAGAGATGAGTATTTGGTCAGGTCAGTTGCTCTGGCATTACAGTTTTTTATGACAGAATTAATCCAATGTATGTTGGCTGAACATTTCTCAGAATTATTACTTGTTGCATACAGCTCTCAACTGAATCATGGTTTTATGATGTTAAGCGCTCTATGAAATTATTAGTCTTTCTCCCAAGGGCTTTGCATGGGATGATATACCTAACTTTCAATATATGAATTATAACTGCTAGAATATGAATCATTTTTTGTTAGGGGAAAGTCTAGACTCATATAACTGAAGATAATCACTGGTTTTCTCTGTTTGTTCATAACACAGTGAACAAACAGTGGCTGCCTGCTGTTGCTGGGGAAAGTGTGACTTCAGCTAAGTACTTTTGGTACACAAATCACTGCAGCATCTTGTCCAAAGTTGCTTGCAAGTTCCTCAGGATAAGGAGGAATATACCTAACAGCAGCCAAGTATTACTTATGTAGCCTTCTAGGAGTGGCGTGGAAGGTTGTGTTTGCACTGGGGCACTGGAGTCTAGATTAGTTGGTTAAGATTGAACGACTGTTTGCACTGTCCATTTGCAGGCAATCGTAGGAGGGTTACAGGGACTTCTGCCTGAACCAGCTTGTAGCATCAGTCATTTGTCAAGCGAGCAGACCTTCTCCCCCACTTTTGGCTTTGTTTCCACATGTTAGTCTCCAAAGGAGGGTTAGACCCTCCCCGTGTCCTCTAAGGAGAAGACAGAGCTTTCTTAGCTCTCTGCCATTTCCACCACAATTATGTTCTTCTCTCCTCCTTGATGCTCAACTGTGCCAAAAACTGCTCTGCTCATGGAATTTCTAGCTGTTATTTCTTGGCAGGAATCTTGGGCAGGATTGCGTCAGAGCACTTTTGGCCAAAAAAGAAGCTGGAACAGTTGTCAGTCACAAATCAATTCATAGAGAGGTTTGCAGAGTTTGTGACACTTCACATTGTGTTTCAAAATATTTCCAAAATTACTGTATCTCTGGAATAATTTTTATGTTCAGGCTTAAGATAGTGCTGTGCCAAAATATTTCCTTTTTTAGTGCTTCTTTATATGTCTGCTTCTCATGAGAGCTTTCCCATATCTCCTGTTAATTCCAATAATTGTTACACAGCCTTGATTGAGAATAGAGAGGAAGGGAAAACACCTATGTCTTTGATTATGAGATTTTTTTAAATTAACAGCATTAAGCAGTAAACAGGAATTGACATGGGGGAAAAAATAAAAAGGTTCATTGGCGCTAAAGGAATCTATGTTTGCAGATTAGATCATCTTGCATTGCCAAGTGAGCTGGCCTGCTTTTCTACTTTAGGAAGATCTGACTGTAATCTTCATAACTCTCTATTTACTGTCAACCCTTCTTTTTCTTAAATTTCTCCAGATTGCCCTTTAGGACAGTGCTTTGGGTAATGACAAGGCTTTTTCTTTGAAAATATGTAATCTCCATTATATTTTATTGTGCTTACTGACCCCACTCACCCAATTTAATGATTTCTTTCCCTGACTTAATTGCAGTGCAACTGTTCTTCAGCTGAGCCCTCAGTTTAGATTTTTTCTTTTGCCTGCAAATGCTTACCTCAAAGGACCATTATTTCATAAATCTAATATAAATTGTGTATTCTTGACTATTTCTAATTTAAAAATGTCTTTTTTTCTTTGGCTGCTGATAGCTTCACCAGGCAGATGTGGTGGTAGTTGGCAGTACAAAACCTGAAGAAATTCCAGTCAGCTGGATAAAGCCTGGAGCCCTTGTTATCAATTGCTCTCGTGACTTTCACTCAGGTAAGAGGAGCTTAAATTGAATAGTTCTTGAAAGTAGCGTGTGATGAGTCTTTGAAATAAGTGTATAACATGTTGAGGACAACAAAATGTGATTAAAAGCTGTGTATTTGGGAGAGGGCCTTTTAAAGTGGTGTAGGTGTATGAGGGCTATATACGTGTGTCTCTAATATGAAAATAGGAAAAATATGTCGGGTAAGGGAAGAAGCACTAGAACAGATTCATCATATCAGGATTATATTTAATAAGCCATGATCCTGTGGATTCTGAGAATTCAGAGGAAAGGCTTTTGGATAAGCAGATATACAGTTACTTCAGCTTATTGTCTTGTGACTTCTGTGGCTTCAACCTAGAGGAAGGGGGAAAAAGAAAGAGGGTAAAAATGTTGACTGTGGTGAGCTGCAAAGCTGTATTTAGAGACGTGTATGGGATGAATTAGAAAAATCACGAAGTCAAGTACAGACAGAGTGTCTTCTAGGGCAGCTACTCCTATGAAAAGAATCTTTTTCCCCCGCTCTCCCATTAAACATAACTTAGTGTACTGTTTTGTGAGGAGGTATGTGTTCATTAATTTCTCATCTGAAAAATGCTCGGTATTCTGTTTGGGACAGAACTAAGAATGTTTCCCAGAACTTACTCTATTCCACTGCTAAAACTGTGTTTCCTATAAATTTTCTTAAGATATTGTAGAGATTTTTGTGTATTTTCTAGATTTTTTTTAATAGGATATTACATATGAACCTGGCTGTTCAGTAACCTGATGGCATTATGTTGTGATTGAATAGGAAAATAAAGAAATGTATAGGTAGTCTGGTCAGTAAATGTGCTTTTCTAAAGCTATCATACCTGTGCTTATTGATATCTAAAATATAAAACTGGGATAATGAACATGAGGCCAAGATGAACTAGTTTCATGGTCCTGTAGAAAAATTCAGTAGACACGCTCTGTAGAGCTTATTGAAAATCAGGTTTGTCTTAAAGCAACTGCTGTTCCGTGGTCATATGAGGAGATCTTTTCTCTTCTTTCTTAATGCCCTCTTGGTTTGAACACACACTGTGGATGTGGGAGATCTGGGTTAAATTTACTTAACTGCCCAAAGGCGTTTCAGCATTTGTCACCTCCCAGGACAGTGCTCTGACCATAACGGATATTTGAGGGGTGCATACTAAGTCTTACCCCTTGTTGATGGTGTGCAAGTTGGTGGAAAATAATTAAGATTTTATTAAATCAAAAAGGAGTAGAGAGTAATTTCGATACTAAAAATGCTAATCTAATAATTATAAGAAACCATATCTCTTCACTGCCCACTTATTTTGCATAGAGATTATTGGACATAATTGACGAATGTTCCTGGAGCAGGGGTTGGCACGTGGCCACTCTCCTCAGGCACCCAACCTGCTGGTATAATGTACTGTTTATATAAGGTAGGAAAGGGGCAAAGAGAGGAAAAAATGGCAATACAGCAATAACGTCTAAAAGAAGGGAGTGGCCCCTCCTTGTTTTAATCCTTTTAAGCAAAAAAGCTTAAAAGCATTAAAGCCAGCTCTGCATGCTGTCTGGAGAAAGAAACACCTTCAGACACCTAATTCTCCCCTTCCACTGCAGAGGGAGCCTGGCTCAGGGACAGAAAAGTTGAGCGCTATGGCTGCATGGCATGTCTCAAGTGTCTTCAAGCCTCGGCTGTGCTATAGAACTCAAGATAATAGTGATATTTCCCATCCCTGAAAGAATGCTGTTAGGGCAACTGCATTCAAACATTGCAAGATGTTCACATACCACAGCAACATTTGTCCTTAAGGCAGGAAATAGACTGATAGTAACATTTGGCATGAGCCTATAGATTTCTCTCCGTTTATCTAGTTGTGGCAGCAGGCTGCATGTTAACTGTAGTGATTCTTTTGAAAAGCAGCATGAGATTTTTTAACAAGATAGTGTAAATAGGGACTTATCTACCAAATGTTGTCTGTCTTTACGCTTCTGCTTTAGAGCTTGTCAGAATCTTGGAGAAGCTCTAGAAGTATAGCAGAAGCACATTTTAGCAGCTCTAAGAATTGTTGGCCTGAAGACACACCGAGAGAGGTACATAAAACACAGGTGTCTGTTTGACAGGAAGAATGCACTTAGTTTAATTGCAAGATATTTATTAAAAGCCCATTGTGGAACAATTATGACCTTGGAGAAACCAGTGTGAGTCTTCTAAGTGATTCTTCACTTTCAATACACAGCGAAATCTGTTTGGCTGAGGTGCTCTAATTTTTTTCTGGATTTTCTCAATGTCCAACTTAACATCTGTAGGGTCACAGGAGTTAAATGAAGCCTGAAAGCAGAAACGGTCATTAAATGTCTTTCATTCTTGTAGTCTAGTGGCTGGATTTCTCATGTAGCTATACATGCAGCCTAACACACGTGTTTTAAAACCTCTCAGAGGTTGCAAATACAGTTATATTGGGGGGCTGTAGTGATATAAGCCAGGAAAGCAGAACTAGAGGGGCTTGCTCTACTGTGACAGGAATTTGAAATGAAGTGTTTGGTGATAGCCTATGCTTCATATGTTTGTATGTAGATCTATAGAAGTTAAGAATAAGTTTCTTAAAGAAATAATGACAAAGTTATTTGGAATTTGAGGTCAGACTCCTCCAGGGTCACTTGAAAGTTCCAGTCCATACTGTGTCAGTATCTGAGTGGGAAGTTCAACCATTCCTCCACTGCTTCCCCCCATGACCCTACCAGACTGCCTGAGCGGATGACTTTGGACAGCAGCTCTTACCCATCTGCACAATAGGGTACAAATTTATTAGGGTGAATTAGAGGGGGAAACACAACATCTGTGGTCCATCTGATCTTCTGGCATAAATCCAGCACATAGAGAACTATTCTAGCCCCCAGAGGGAAAATTTATCCTAAGTCAGATGTTGCAATCCTGTGGTCGTCTTACTGGTTTGTGTGTGCATCAGTTTTACCTCTAGCCTCACCCACACCTCCTGAAAGAGTTTAGTTAGTTGTCTTTCCTTAGTGAGTGTGTAGTATGTACACACTCACTACTGAGAGAAGTGGATTATTGAAGGGAAATACCCAGTTTCCTCATATATTTACACATGCAATCTCTACTCTAAAAGAAAGAAGACATTTTTAGCCAAATAACATAAGAAGTTGAACTATTTCTGCAAAGTACAGCTGTCTGAATGGGGATTTTAGCTTCATTCTTCTTACTTAATTTGTCTTTTTGGCAGCTCTCCCGGTCTGGTCTCAACACAACAATAGTCAACTTATGACTGTGATAGACTTGCAATTTCCAGTAAAGCTCTGTCTTTGAGCTGAAATCTCAGCATCGCCAGAAATTTTGTTTTAAGCATAACAAGTGTTAATAGAAATAGAAGGCCTTTTTAGATGCTTTCTTATTTAGAGATTGATGTTAGGTGTTGTCACCTTGGTTACCTTCATCATTGAAGCACAGATGCCTGTTGGCAATAATGCTTGAGAATGAATTAACAAATAAGTTGAATGAGGCTGAGTGTGTCTGCAAAAAGAGTCTCTTGGTCTCTTAGAGATAGTCGTGAGTATGGGTGGCAGTGGGTATTTCATGGCCTGGTGGTGTGCTGGCTCCTCTGCACATTTCTGTCTGCAGTGCTGCTGATTGCAGCCAGGGATTTCTGTGGCCTTCTGCTATGGGGACTTTCTCTAGGAGAGGTAATTATACGAGATAATGTGAATATTTTATGGTGGGTACAGGAGGGACAACTAGAGCGAGAGCTTGGATAGGTCAGGATTTGCAGTAAAGCTCCCCTGAGGGAGAAAGGCTAAAGCTGTCAGTGCACAATTGTTATTTTTTATTACTTATGTCTACGCCCTTCAGAATGAGACTAAGGTCTTGATAGGCCCACGGAGGCTAACATGTGAATTTTATCTTGGAGAAATTGCATCTAGACAAAAGTTAATAAGCAGCAACAGAACAGCAAGCCAAGAGGAGAACTGCAGGAAGAAGACAAAATAATGTATTTAATTAGAGTAGCTAATGCACAATTATTACATGACATGTTGCCACTAGAAGCACTCATATGTCGGTAAAACTGGAGTCACTGTAATAAAGAATGTCTGCTTTTAATTTTAATGTCATGCCAGTGAAGAGTGCTTTTGCTGCTCGGTTTTGCATATTTTGATTTCAAATTTTAAATTCCATTGGATAATAATACTTTCTAATACTTGCTGATCATTTTCTTGTTCCCCCTCTTACTGAGATGGGCATATGAAAATGAAGGCAGACTCGATCAAGTTTTTTCGGGTGGTCTGCTAAAAATATAGGGAGTTCTTCAGATCCATATACCATCGGGCTTTTCTTATTCCCCTTTCTCTTTGTTTTTGTTCAAAAACATTTTTTTGGATTCTGCCGTCAATTTCTGTTGTCTCTTACTCTCTTTTCAAGTATGTTTATGTTGTGTTGTTTGCAAGTGTTTGTTTGCCTTGCATGCTTTAGGGCTTACAGTTGGTGTCTGATTTTCACATTATTTCCTTATCAGCCTTCCTGGGTGATTTCTGTTTAATTATAAAAGAAGCCACCTATAATTTTGGCAGTGACATTAAGTTGCAAATTGGCATTCAAATTTTTCTGGTTTGTTTGCTTGGGCATGGCTTTCAAATACACATGTACCCACTAACCAAAGCTTCTTGATTTGTTAGTGCAATATTTTCATTCTACAGAGAAACACCATGGTCAGCAAAACAGCCATCCTGTAGAAAATGATGTTTGTTCTCTTGCGATAGCGATGCGAATGCAGGTTAGTATAACTTCAAACACTGTAAAATTGGTGTTCTGTTTTGAGTTGTAGAAATTGCTTCTACAGTTGGACTTTCTGAAATTTTTGTTTTGTTTTTTCAAAAATGCTGCCTACCTTCCATTTTAACAGTAACCCTGTAAGCTGTTAATTGGGGTGACTGATGCCTGTTACATTTAGTTAGAGTAAATTCGTATCTTATTTATCATAATTCTGATAATTATAGTAAAGCTTGTGAGAACCCCTTGTGTCAATGAACTAATATTGCCTATTCTTACAAGGCAATTAAGGAATAATTATACCTGTGTGTGATTTTGTGTAATGATGGATAAAGTGTCCAAAAATGTGTTGTTTTATGGGGAGGCAACTTGCTCTTCAGAAAGCTTCAGAGAATGAGGCAGTTTGTGAACAATTAATAACTTCCAGTCTTTCTAATGTGTGAGAGAATAATAGTCTTTCTCCATTTTACCCAAAATAAAATCTCCAGTGCCTCATTTGAGCTTTTTCTCTGCCACTTCTATGTAAATGGTATTGCCTCCATTTGAAATCTGAATAAACAATACTAGTGTAATAGTGCAATGGAAGTTTTTATTCCACCCTAAAACCATGAAATTCAATGAATTCCAAATTTGTTTTTGTTAGTCCTTGTCCTAGACGTTCATTCAGTGTTGTTTTGGGATCATTTGAGAGTACTGTTCAGTATTTATGATGCATCTGGTGTGTGCTGTCTTTCTTGCTTAAATACAGAACATGGTGAAAAGCTTAGAGAGATGGATCCAATCCCAGCAGTACAGGAAGTGGAACCTCCGCTGCTTGAAACTTCAGCCTCTCTCCCCAGTGCCCAGGTGATAGTTATTTTATTTTATTATTATTTTTAAATAGGTAACCAACTGTTTAAATATGTATGAATGCCAAAAATGTCTGTGCCTGATTTTTTCATCTGCTTATGGGGACTACAGGTTGTGCCACTTTGTTGTATGCCTTATTGTGGCCATGTTCTCATGTTTCCTGTCATTTTTTCTTTTTAGTATCTGCATTGGGGCTAAACTTTATTTGATGAAGTCCTAAAACTGCCAGATGAAGGAAGAGAGGTGAAGCTTTGGGGAATGGCAACAGAAATGCAAAATATAGACCAATCCTAACCAAAACAGATTTTTGTTTCACTTAAAATGAGGAAAGCTACTTAAGCACTGTAACTAGGAACATTAGCTTTTTGATTTCCATGAGCTCTGGGTGTCAGTTTGAGTCATATCCACAAATATTGGAAATGAACTGAGGATTTTATTATAAGTACACAGTAATAAAATTCCAGAACGCACAAAAAGTCCTCATTCTGTTTTAACAATTCTTATTCAGGCAGAAGATCCAGTGTTGTACTTTTTCAGTTTAATAATGAATAACATACTTTATTAAATAATTCCAATATTTCCAAAATAGCAAATATTTTCTTTATCAAACTAAAATATCTTGGTACAAATATGAGCTTCTAAATGCTAGTTAATATAAAACCTCTAATGTCATATCTTTTAGAAAATGATTTTTATCTGAAGTAATTCTGACATCCAAATTTTGTGTACATAGTTTAGTCGCATTGATATTTAAGGCATAGATGTCAATTTATTGCCAAATTATGCCTTTCATCAACTTGCTATGCGATGGTCTAACTATGTAATACTTGGAAACAGGGACATACTGCAACTAACTTGATTTCATATGTCAAAATGTAATCTGCTATTAAAAGGTTTCTGTTTTGTTAAAAATATATTTGCCTGGAAGGCTCAGAAGCAACCATCAAGGGAGGAAATGATGGCAGCATACATCTTACCAAGGGTCAATTTTATGTGACTCCTAAAAATGTTTTTAATTGATCTAAGAAATTGTTAGCTTTTAACTTATTGATAAATGCAGGGCTAGGTCACTTTTGCTTGTTCTACTTTTTGCTGGCAGTGGTGTGTGCAGAATGGCAAAAGCACAATAGTTTCCTTCAAAAGGAAACTCTGCAAGGAAGTCAGTTGTGGCAGGAGATGCAAGGAGGAAAAAGACTCCAACCTACTGCATAGTCCTCAGAGTCTGTTTTGATATTTGAGGTAATAGCTAATGTCATCTATTAAAACAGATTGATACAGTTGGTGGGAGGCAAGGAAAAAGGCAGGCAAACTTTCTGGCATTCAAAGCAGTCCCTCCTTGCACTTTATCAATTATTTTAGTAAGAGATTAGGTCGCTCTGCAGATTTTGCCTTGCTAAAGTTCTCAGGGGATCACACTCTCATCATTTGATAAGTGTTTTTCTGAGACTTTTGTTTTTCCGGGCAGAGTTCTGTATAAAAACTTTAAATAACTTAAGTATTCCTTCTCATGGGACGTTTGTGAGCCAGCGCACCTTCTGTTTTTCATTCATATTTGTATCTAGTTGTGTTTGAAGTAATACATAGGACAACTGAAACTGCATCCCTTTATGCAAGAGGATGTGATTGCAATGATTAGTATGTCTTTGAAAGAAGTCAGATTCCAGATTAGTAGGAGTGAACACAACAAAATGGCCCAGCTTTTGCAGTATCGTGGTTCAGTAGCTTCTTGCCCTTTAGCGTTGGTTTTTGCCAATGACTGGGTAGATGATGCTACTTAGCTGCTGCAAGGTGTGCGTGTGGGATATTTGAGAAGTATCTTCTGAATTTGAACTGAGTAGTGGTTCAGTTTAGGATATCTTCAAAGAATTACAAGCAGCTAAGTTGGCACAACCTGATCTTTTGCTGGTGGATGCAAAACAGCTCAAGTTAACACCTGGAGCTGAGATTTGGCAGTAGTTCTGTGTTCATCTGTGGATATTTGAGGTCTTGCAGACTGTGAAAAAGTGCAGGGCGTTAGCTTTAATGCCATTGCCAGATTCTGTCTTGAAAATATTGCTATCAATTGAAACTGAAGGAAGAAGTTTAGCCTGGAAAGGCTGAAAGTGATTAATTTCTCTGTAATTTTTATAACCTGTTTTTTTTGGTGGTGTGAGTGGTTCAAAGCAAAAGGAGGCAACTCCTCACATCCTGTGTGGCTGAGCCACACAAGTTACTGCTGTGGGATCTTGTTGTGCAAAGATTAGATGGGCTCCAGGAGCAATTGGGTCAATCTCACAGAGGAGAAATCCCTAAAGGCCTGTGGATTTAACCACAGTCCCCAGGTCTAAATCACGAAATGCCAGAACAAAGGGTCATCACCAACATGATGGTGAGGAATCGCTGTGTTCTTGCTCCATGCTTTTGCTGTTGCTGAGGCCTCCACTTTCAGTCATTTTGGAAGGAGTTTGTGAGCTACATGGACTTTTGGCCTGAGCCCTGTGTATTAACCGCTGCTGTGTGGTCACTTTCAATTTAGCTATGTTGGGGAGGAGCATGAATTCCTCTTCCAATGCTTTACCTGCTTCCTCCCATTGCCTCTTGGGGGAGTAGGGAGGCTTAGCTTGCTTTGCTGTGGCGCTACATGGGCAGTATCGTGTTTAACTAATGTGTTTATGTGAGCCAAGGAATGTATGTGCTTTTTACTAAAGTGTATGTGCCGAAATATACTGGGGGAGAGGAGAAAAAAAACAAAACCAGAAAGACCCATTCCAGTGGGACACGCTTGAACATCGAACAGACATGTCTCTAGCTTGATATGAAAGAATTACGTAATATTTGGAATTGGATTAAACAAAAGAACTCCATGAAATTATAACAATTAACAAACATTGCATGTGATTTTCAGTGGTGTATTAGGTGTTAGCTAATATTTAGACTTGGGTAATAAAATGTGAGAGAGGATTGAAAACTGATTACAATAACCCCATTGTTGGAGTGTTTGCTGTTGTTTTGTGCTCCGTCGTCGACCACCTAAGCTGAGAGAAATCTCCTGGCTCTTATTTGTTTTCTTTTCCAGTGATATTGAGATTTCCCGAGCTCAGAGCCCAAAAGCTGTTGATGTACTTGCCAAGGAGATAGGATTGCTTACAGATGAAATTGAAATCTATGGCCAAACCAAAGCCAAAGTGCGTTTGTCCCTGCTGGAAAGGTTAAAGGATCAACCAGATGGAAAATATGTTCTCGTTGCTGGGTAAGAATGCAGAGTAATGTGATTAATGTACACTCTTTTTTTTATAAACTTCCAACTTGTATCTTTTTAATATCCTACAAAAGAAAGACTGCCGAATGTTTTGTGCTCTATGTCACTCGCTTCACAGGCAAGCAGTTTTTGACATGCAATAACACAACCTGTCTTCTGAAGCAAGTGTTGCTACAGAAGTAGATTGTTCTAAGCTCCCTAAAAGTTGTCTTCAGCAGTGTAGTGTTTTTCCTTTTTTTATCAGAATTTAAAATGTTTGAGTATTTAAATCTGTGCACATGATGACCGTTTATAAACAAACCTTAACAGAAGTTGCATGGTAATCTGTTGATATTAATAATAAATACTTTTTTTTATTGAAGAAACAATTGCATAGTTAAGTCAGTTATGTTTTTTTCCAGAGATGAGGCCATGTCTCCAGGCGGGCTTATCCTACTCTCAATTCTCACGATTATAGAAAATGCTATGCTCAACAAGAATTATGTGCTGTGCTTATGAATAGCGTTTTTTTTCTGTACTTGCATACACTGTTGTTATTACTTGTTTAATTTATCTGGTTTGTAAAGTAGAAATTCCTTGTTGTGAACAGATATGTGAAGGTTTTCATTAATTTTTAATTTCAGTGCATGCTTTACTTTCCCAAAGAATTGATATAGGTGTATCCTTGCAAATAGAACCTGTCAGGTTTAAGAAGTAGTTTTAGATTTATCCAAAGCGAGGAGGCTGTTCTAAACTGTCTTTATGCACTGATTCATCAGTCAGCATTTTGCAAATTGCTTAAGTACCTTCATGTGGGGAAAACCTGGATTTCTGGCATTATCCAAGATGGAGCTGTTTCAGGCTGAAGACACCTCAGTTTGTCCTTGGTTAGTAGATATTGGTTAGAAAGCTGGGGCATGCAAATTGTAAAGCTGTCTTTAAAGTTGGTGCTATAGAATTATAGCATATAAAGATGTTTCTGTAGTAATGTGGAACAGTTATTTAGTAGAAGAAAAAAGAACTTGCTCTGCTCGGTTTCCTCCAGTAAGGTTTTATTTTGTATTTTCTTTGCTCAGAGAAGAAAATTAGATTCAGCATTTGATAGTTTGTCCCACAAGGGTTAGCATGGAGGGCTTGGGCAAGATGCCTGCAACACTGGGTCTTTTTCTTCTGAGAGAGTTCAAAGACTGACTTAGAATATATATTTTATAAATGGAAAAAAAAGTGGAGGAAAGGAACTTAAAGGTCTATGCTTTTACCTCTGGTACTTGATCTGATGTGCATATTGCTTGTTCTGTAAGTTGCAGGATCTTCATTACCTGTCCATGAAGCAGGCAGCAATATTTATGCCTAAAACTCCATAGTTAAGTGCAACTATTTCATAATGTTTTGAGATTATGAATATTTGTTGCAAATTCTCATCATCTACTTTATTCCCGGTGCACTAGACATTCCCTTATTGTTCTTCTGAACTTTTATATATCTAAAGATAGTTTTCTTTATGACTTTTTAAAAAGTTGCTACTAATTGGGAAGTCATTAGAATGCAGTCAGGTACAGCTTCTGGATGTATGTAAGTCTAGCTAAATGCCTTATCTAATACATGCCTTTTATGTTGAAAAATTACAATTTGATTAACAAATAATGTCACTCAAAAATAGTTACAGAAATGACAACTTAGTTTTTTCTTCCGCCCTCCCCTCCTTTTTATTCTGTGTAGAAGGGCTTGTTTTTCTATTCTTTTTCTTTCTCCCCCCCCTTTTATTTTTTTTGATCTTCCACTTACTAAATGGCTGGTATCAGGGCAACTTGGAGTCCTCACAAGTTATCATGAAGTAGTTAGTTTTTGTGCATTAGCTGTCTGTGTACATGCTCCTAATATTATCCTTTTAATATTATCCTTAAAATTATATTTAAGGATATGTTATTTCATATGGCTTCCTGTTCACTGCAAGCTAAGAGTATACAAATGAAGAATTCCTGTGTATGACATAGAGACTAAGTTTAGTGCATTGGGTTAACTTAATCATGCGTTTAAGCATCTAGATAGCGTAATGGGAAACACAGTATGAAGCTTACATCTAAAATTTGTTAGGCTTTTTGTATGATCCATTATTTTGTTTTCAGATGTTCCAGTGCTCTGGCTTTTATCATTCAGTTTAGGTAACTTCACCTCAAAAAAGCAAGAAGATGAATGAAGTAAAGCCTGTGGAATAATAGAATTTGGAAAAATTGTGAAATGTAATGCTTTGTTTTGCTACAATTGTGTTGCCTTTTTAAAATATATATTTTTGTAAAATATAGTAGTACTTCTTTCCTAACAACAATAGATTTTTTTTTTGTGATGAACCGAAGAGTAGAACCAAAATACTATTATGTATTTAAACTATTTCAGCAAGATAAAAATTCACAATGATAAATAGTAGTCTAGTGCTTGCACAGGCTGTATGATAGTGAATGTCTTATTTTAAGGATGGAATTTTCAGATTTTGAAAATGGAGATTTTCAAGTGTTAGGTTATGTTTGTGTTCACTGTAATTACTGGCCCTTGAGGTGCTTAAATGAAAAGAAAAAAGGCAGACAAAAGAACATGGAGATGATGAGGAGTGAATGGAAAAACTACCATTTTGATGCAGTGAAACGCCTGATAGTTCCAAGTCTTCACTGAGACAGCTTGTCATTATTCCTTACAGAGTTATCTAGCTACTCACTGGAATTACATTATTTGGGTCTTTATCACTCTTTAACAATTTGTAATTGTGAGTTCTTTACTTCTGGCTTTGCTCAGTCTTTTGTGTTTAATAGTGATCACTGTGCTTTCATATCCAGAAGTTCAAGGTGCCTTTTTGAGGATGGCACTGCAAGGTTGTCATAACTTAACCTCCATGAGGACTTATGGCAAACAGAGAAAGATGCAGCACTTTTGTGCTCAGAAATAAGTTTGAGAGTTGTAGTCTTGAAAGGAGGATGTGTCCAGATGAGTTTGTCATTTACGAGAAATATTTCACCCTTCCTCAGTGGTGAAACTTTGCAGGTTTTCGTGCGGATCGTGCGTGTAGGAATGATGAACTTGCTGCAGTCTTCAAATTTGCCAATACTGACAAGTTAAATATAGGAAACTAAAGGAAAGAACAGTCGCTTAAGCACTACAGTTCTTGCTGGCCTCACCGGAGCCGCAGTAACTGCGAGGAGGTTACAGCTGGTGCAGTGAGTGAATCTTCTCACTGCTTGTTTATTTTTCCTTTGTCAGACGTCATGTAGCTTTCCCGCAGAAATAGCTCTGCTGTAAGCTCGTGTGATGTATAACAAACAAACATAAAGTCTGCATATTCTTATCTCTGTTTTGATATACACAAAGAGAGAAGTTCTTCCCATGTTATGGAAAACTTACTTTGCCAAGGAGCTGGTAACTGCTTGGTAGGTGGCAAAAGAAGTTTTAAGAAGGAAAATGATTGTGGGATTTCTGTGTTTACATTGAAAACATATTAAAGAAATTGGAGGAAGAATGCAAATGTGTTTAAAGTCTCTTGAAGTTCATTAAAATTTAGTGTTTTTAAAAGGTTTTTTTAACATTAGCCATTGGTAGTTGTAATTTTATATTTCTATGAGCTAGCAACAGAACTTGCAAATGTATACTCAGTAGTATAGCTAGCAAAAAATAAAAAAGTGGAGCCAGTAGTAACATCTAAATGTCTACACAAAACCTTAGATGGATTAATTTATGTATAAAAACTGATTGAAGTAGGCCAGGTGCAAAAGGGAAAGAACTAAAGCTTTACTAAAGAAATGATTAGAATAGAAACTTGCTCTAATTTTGGTGCTGCTTTTGACTAATATGTAAAACAGAGACTCCAATAACTGCATAATTTTTAAGATTTATCCTGTAATCTCCAGGCCACTGCTGAAGCTCTCAGAATAGGTCCTAACAAGTCTTCTCAAGTTAGATGAGAATTTAGGGTTAGCTGAATGAGTTATCCAGGCAAATTTGACTTTGCTCAATAGTGTGATTTGCCGGAGTCCTTATGTTTTGTGGATGGTGAGTTAGGTGGAAAGAGACTTAAAAAGTCAGGCTGCTGTTCTAAGCTTTCCAGAGGTTTTTGCCTATTCATCCCTACTATGGTGGACCAGTTTTCTTAGGAAAGTGCTTCACGCACGTGCTCTAGAGAATTAATGGAGGTTTGATTCTTGATTTTCTTCTTCCATCACAACTGCCTTTTAGATATTTTGAGGCTGTAGATATTTATACGAGTAACTCCAGTTCCAAGAGAGCAAAGAACCGTAGGACTTCTCAGAAGAGAGAGAAGAGGTTAAAATGAATAATCTGAGGAAAACCCTGAAAATGTGCATTTTGAAAATTACTGTGGTTTAAGTCAGGGTTCAGTCTATGCTGACATGCACCTCGCTGTCACAAACAGTTAACGTGCTTGCCAGAATACACTAGTGAAAATACACTTGCTCTTGCGCGTTTTCACCCCTGCTTTGGTGGTTGCTGGTTCCTACAGAATTTCACATTCCCAGTAGGGATGGGGACTAGTGCAGAGTATAAAAATACTGGAAATTCAGCAAAGGGAAAACCAGTCCCTCATAGTTTGATTAGTGAGCTGGGCTGTATTTCATTTTTTTTAACCTTTTTTTTTGGG